TCTTGTGTCCAGGAGAAAACGTATATACTTCCCAGTACTATTAATGCTCACCCACAGCTCTTCTGGGAGGATCTAAATCGTTGAAGTGTCCTCCTTTTTTTCCAGCTGGGAGCTGGGGCCTGTCGGTCCTGTCAGCCACGAGGAGCTGATGTGAGCCACCCTTGACCATGTGACCTTCAAATCCACACTTAAAGCAAGTGTGAGGGAGCTTCCTCTCTACCCCCGTCTCTATCTGTGGCTCTCGTCTGTGTCACTGTCTAGGACATGTCCGTAGTTGAGCAGTTTGTCCATTGATGGAAAATGGGTTGTCTCCATGTTTTTGCTATTTTAAATAATGCTACTCTCAACATGGGTTCACATTGTCCACTTGTGTCAATGTTCTTATTGTTTTAGGATATAAAAGAGAACCCTAGTGGAAGCCCAAAGACATGTGGTTAAAACCCATGACAGAAGGATTGGAAATCTCCCATTTTACTACCTCCGAATACCCACTGGAGGGTCAACTATGGGTTGGTTCCAACTTGAACATGCACAACCACCACCTTGAAGTAGGAGTTCTGGTAGCTTAGTGAGTAAGGGGTTTTGCTGACAGTCCCAAAACACATAGTTTGAACCCCCCCAACCCCCTCCCCCCAAAGTATGTATAACATGATTTGGGTTTCTTTTTTCTTTTTCTTTTTAAATGTATATACACACTAAACCCAAACCAAACTCACCGTTGTGTTTCGGAGACTGTAATTGTAAGGGAGAAATTGCCCATCTTTCCTTTCGTGGAATTGCTGGTAGATTTGAACCACCAGAGACACCTGCCCATTTCGTTAGCAGTTCAGCAGATTACAGCCGTCAGATCTCCTTACATATAAAATGTTGCTTGGTGCCATCATGTTGAATAGGTCTCGTGGAAACCGATAGAAAAGAGAGAGGGTCCCTGTCTGTGCCATCCTCGTCATCTCTGACATATTTGAGCCCACTGTGCAGTCACTGCGTCGTTCCATGTCATGGAACGTCTTCCTCTCATTTGCTGGACTGTCACCTTTCCAGGCATGATGTCCCATTCCAAGGAATTGGGCCCTCCTAAGCAAAACCCAAGGAAGAAGGATTGGCCACCCACTTCTCAAATAGCAGGCCTCTGAAAACCCTATGCACAACAGAACACACGCAGATTAACAAAAAGGGCAACCTAGGTAGAACCATCAAGTATGGAAACACAAGGGAGGAGGAACAGCTGTAAGCAGACCCTAGTGATTGGTAC